TAAAAAAAAAAAAAAAAAAGAATGTGATTATGTTCAGGAACTCAAAACAGGAAGCTGGGCAACCAGATCACAAATTCAAGGAGGATCACAAATTCAAAGCCAACTTCAGCAAATTGGAGAGATCCCATCTCTAAGTAAAAGATAAAAAAAAGCCTGGGGGATGTTGCTCAGTGGCTAAACACCCCTGGGTTCAATCTTCAGTATAAAAATAAATAAATATAAACATTATATATAAAGAGGGAGAAAAAAATAAATATATAATAATAAATATATAATATTATATATAAAGAGAGAGAAAAAAAATTTTCTTAAACAGGCAGAGTATAGATTTTAGGGTTTGGAGAGCCATTCGGTTTCCATCAGTCTCTTTTTTAAGCCCTATAAAAATGTAAAACCATTTGAAACAGGTTTTAGAAAAAACAGGCTGTGACCCTGATTTGGCTCATAGATCACCATTTCTCTACCCCTTATGTAAAGGACTAATATTAATGTTGTAGCTTCATATTTTAGTCAGTTTTTTCATAGCTGTGACCAAGACACCTGTCAAGAACAAGTTAAAGAGGAGGAAAAGTTTGTCTCATGGTTTAGAGGTTAATTCCATTATCAGCTGACTCTATAGCTCTGGGCCTGAGGTGAGGCAGAACATCATGGCACAAGGGCCCAGTTGAGGAAGCAGCTCAGCAGCTCAGAACATAGCAACCAAGAAGCGAAGAGCTTCACTTGCCAGGAACAAAATACAAATCCCAAAGGCACACCCCCAGTGACCTACTTCCTCCAGTCATAACCCAATGGCCTACAGTTATCACTCATTTAATTCATTGGATTAATACATTAATTAGGTTACAACTCTCATAATCGAATCCTTTCACTTCTGGAAATTCTTGCACTATCTCACACATGAGCCTTGGGGGACACCAATTATTCCAAGTATAATATATATTTTTAAATTTTTGTTACCAAGGACTGAACCCAGGGCGCTTAACCACTGATCTACATCCCCAGACTTTTTAAAATTTTATTTAGAGATAGGATCTCACTAAATGGCTTAGGACCTTGCTAAATTGCTGAAGCCAGTTTTGAACTTGTGATCTTCCTGCCTTAGCCTCCTGAGTCTCTGGGATTACAGACATGTGTAACCGCACCTGGTTTAAATATAATATTTAAACTATCTGTTTTTCTTTGCTTCAAAGAAGAAAATGGGCACATTTCTCATGTGGATAATGTAGTTTCCATTCTTTTCTTTTCTTTTTGTTTTTTAGACAGTTTTGGGAAGAAAAATTCCATTTCAAGTCAATTTGGAAATGTGTTTTGGATAATGGTAATCTAGAATTCAAACACTCTCACAAAAGTGACTCTTCTAGATTTCATGTTTAAGAGAAAGGAAGAGGAAGGGAAAGAAAGAAAAGAAAATAGTCAAGAATATGTAACCAGAACAATATTGACCCAGTTATAGATGTATCTGCAGATGTCATGGGCAATCTGTAAAATATGTTCTCATTAATGAGGCTTGATATCTGATAACTACAGAAACCCACATTCCACAGAATCTTGGAAATGTCTAAAAGTATAAATTGTTTGCAGAAAATGCTATCTTCCTCTAGGTCCAAGAAGACCTGAAATGAAAGGATCCTTCTTGGGAAAGTTTCATCACTATTGCTGGCTATGAAAGATACTTTTCTCCTTGTCTAAATTTCAGTTGTTTTATTTATTTTCCACATCAGAGAAGTGAATACTTTAAAAGATGTCTGTCCTTGGTTCCAGCTATAGAATCAGTACATTTTTTTCTCAAATAATTTAAAATTGTCTTTAAAAAAAATGTGAATATGATGTCATACATCCATGCCTCTGCTCCCCCCCCCCATAAAAAGATACTCTTTCCAGTTAATTCTCCATTTGCACTTTTTTTTTAAATACCAGGGATTGAACACAGGGGCATTTAATCACTGAGCCACTGAGCCACATCCCCAAGCCTTTATTTTTTATTTCATATTAGAGACAGAGTCTCACTAGGTTGCTTACAGTTTCACCAAATTGCTGAAGCTGGCCTCTAATTTGTGATCCTCCTGCCTCAACAGCCTGAGCCTCTGGGATTACAGGTATGTGCCACTGTGCCCTGCCTATTCTCATGTTTTTTTTTTTTTTTTTGCAACATCTGAAAGGCTTAAGAATATCAACACATGGGGCTGGGGATGTGGCTCAAGTGGTAGCGCGCTCGCCTGGCATGCATGTGGCCCGGGTTCTATCCTCAGCACCACATACAAACAAAGATGTTGTGTCCACCGAAAACTAAAAAATAAATATTAAAAAATTCTCTCTCTCTCTCTCTCTCTCTCTCTCTCTCTCAAAAAAAAAAAAAAAATACCAACACATTAGAGGGCTGGGGATGTGGCTCAAGTGGTAACGTGCTTGCTTGGCATGTGCGGGGCACTGGGTTAAATCCTCAGCACCACATAAAAATAAAATAAAGATGTTATGTCTGCCGAAAACTGAAAAATAAATATTAAAAAAATTCTCTCTCTCTTAAAAAAAAAGAATACCAACACATAAAAAAGTACTTAAATATGCCTGAATGGTAGCCCACACCTATAATCCAAGCTGCTCTGGAGGCTGAGGCAGGTGGATCATGAGTTCAAATCCAGTCTCAGTAATTTAGCAAGACCCTTTCTCTAAATAAAATATATAAAAAGGGCTAGGGATGTGGCTCAGTGGATAAGCACCCCTGGGTTCAATCACTGGTATAAATAAATAAATGGTACTTAAATAGAATGTACCTATTCTCTTAACACCTTCACATATAGCTAGCACTTGCTTAGTTTCCTAAAGAATGCTAGTTTTTCCAGAAACTGTGAATGGTTTTAAAATAACCCTTTAATTTTTGAGACAGAGAAATGTCTAGGGAGAGAAAAAAAGAAGTGCTATCCACTGAATAAAAAAATAAAGTGGCTAAACAAAAATCAATCTCTTTTTTTTCTTTTAGATAGCTAAAATTGCTAAAGTGGTTAAGGTAGCATATAATTTTTCTTGTTGAAGAATTTCATCCAGTTTGACAAGTAAATAAATGTTTAACTCTGTCCCTCCTTTTATTGCTGCAGAAACCAGAAGAAATGGAAAATAACTGCAGCATGTTTACCACATATTAGCTCCTTTCTCTACATGAAACACACAATGAGAACACTTTATAGATGAATTGTGCCTTTGACTGAATGGAGAATGGTGGACGAGTTCTGGTTTTGTGGAATTGGAAAATTTGTCACAGTTTCTATCCTACCTCTGAAAAATGAAAACCCAAAGAAAAACTAGTAGAAAGACTTATTTTTTTAAAAGTGATAAAAATATAAAATGATATTTTTGGTGCACCTAAGTATTTTAAAATACATAATTTACAAAGAAAACCACTAAGTTTAAGGATGGCTATTACTAATAAACAATCATGGTTGTAGGTTTCAACACAAGCTATTCATCATACTTTAAGTAACATTACTTACTAAAAAATTTTTGAGATTGTTCTGTGATTATCATACGCTTGTCTGATTGCCTACTTTTTATTATCATTATTAAAAATAAATATAAATGGGATATTGATATAATTATGCCTTATATGTGTCATACATATGTATAATTTTAGTTTATTTTTTCTCATACTCTACATCCTCTAATATGCCAATACAGCTAAAAAGAAGTATCTAAATATTAATTACTCCTCCCACAGTAGTTGAATATAAAAGAGACAATTTTTCCAAAATGGCTGACCTCTCCATCACAAAATATAGATTAATAAATGAAAAGCCCACCACATTGATTTTTAAAAGTTTGATGTGACACAGGAAACAACAAATGAAAAAATTGAAAATCAGGAAGAAAGGATGAAAGAAATGGATGGTTAGAAAGAAACGTGATTAGATGGAAAGCCTATGAGCTAACGGGAACACACTGGGGGAGACCCAGCAGGACCTGTTTAGTTAGGTTCTTCTTGGCCTCTCTATATAACTTGCCTATCTCTGGGACACTGTTGCAAAGGGTCTTATTTTCAGGGGAGATAGGTCAGAAAAAAGCCTTTCCAGGCTTCACAGTTTGCTTTAGGAAAGACAGGGTTCCTGGTTCTTTGGTCCATGTTGGGGAAAAAGAAAGCAGAGCAAAGAAAAATGAGGACAGGAGAAGGTCAGAGACACCTTGCTTCTGAGACCTCCTGATCTCCTACATTTCAAAGTAGTCAGCATACCATATTGCTATATTTTGGGCATTATGTTCTCAGTCCTTTCAGTTAAACATATAATATTTTTCAAAAATAGAAAAAAAAAGATTTGCTTCAGAATGCTGCAAACCAGTTTTCTACAATTAAATTTGAAAATGTTGCCAAAATCACATTATTTTTCTTCTTCATATAACTGTGAAGTTTTACTATGATACTTTAAGATTAAAAAAGAAAAATACACCTAAATAGTTCAATTGGAGAAGAGATTCAGAGGAATATTGGTTCAAGAGTATTTCTACTCTGCCATCCTCCTAAAATTAGTAATATATTAAGTTAAAAAATTGAAACAGTCTGGTTGGATAAACACAAGTCTCCAGACTTGTTAAGCTACCGGGGGAAAGACATGTGCCTCTAACACAATGGCATATTCCAAGGTGTCCTAGACCATTTGGTTGCCATTTGGCAAATGAACAGGAACACAGCTTCCCTTAATATGGTTGAAATTTAAAGATGATGTACATATAGTTTTATAACTATTCTTTGAAGGTTTTGGTCTCTGTTCCACATGCAAATTCAAACTGATTAGGCATTTACCAATATTGAAAGAAAAACTGAAATTCAATGATATCTCAATACTTTTTGGGTACAATGTTTTTGTCACATATTCCCATCACTAAAATTAACCCTGGATGATTTTATTGCTCTGAAGATTAAAATTACTTTCGGATATACTCATTAAGTATTTTCTATATTTAGGATGCATAGTCAAAACCCCTTTTTATGTTTACAAACCATCTTTAAATATATTTTGGTTATAAATACCAAACTAATCACTTATGCCCTAAATAACACCAATGGAAAAGAATTACTTTAAAAACAAGTGACAATTTTAAAAAATGGGAATTGGACAAGCTGGGTCAGCCTTCTGTCCCAAAAGGTAGAAAATATAGGAAATATCTAGTATCATAGACCAGACCTTAATTATATCCACAAAAGCAACAAGAGGTTTATTTTTAAGGAACTTTGTGAGAGTTACCCTCTACATAATCCATTCCAAATTTTAAACTATATCAGCTACTTTTCTTCCAAGCTGGCAATAGACTCCTACACTTCTGGGGTGAAAAGCAGACCCCTCCCTTCTCTCTTCTTTACCCCACAGTGACTTCCCTGGAAGTGAAAAAATCCCATTCCTTTCTTTCCCTAGACCCTTCAAATATAAGTTATTTATTGCATTATTTTAGTCAACTACATCACCCCTATTTGTGGGACAGGTTTAAAACTTGTAGTAGAAATTACTGAAAAAAATCCTAAACTAGACATCATCTAGTCCAGTCTTCAATCATGAGAAAGTTTCGGTTAAATACTCATGACAGAGTCAAGGTTCTGTGGACACGCCCATGTAATGATTTAATTCTGTTTTCTTATGAGAAACCTATTGGACTGACCAAATATGATTATTTTTCCCTTAAGGAAAAAGTAGATGATTTTATCTGGTTGCAATTAACGAAAGATGGAGTCTATATACAGTCACAAAGCAAAAGAATATATAATTTCAGCAGAAGTTCCCTGAAAACCCATTCTTTGATTAGAAATGATGCTTGCTTTATTTTGAAATATTTGTTGTACAAAATAAAGAGAAATATGACTCCTGAAATACCAAATATGGTAAGAAGGTTGTGATTCTTCATCACTTCAGTCTGAAAAACATTAGGTGTGGAGTCTGCTATGGTTTGGAAGTGTCCTTCCAATGATTCATATGTTAAAGGCATGGTTGCCAAACTGTGGCACTATTGGGAAGTAATGGATCCTATATGAGGTGAGGCCTAGAGGCAGGAAGTTAGGTCATGAGGGGAGGGTCATGCCCTTGAAAGGTAGTCTATGATCCTGGTCCCTTCCTTTCTCTCTCCTCTTGCTTCCTAGCAACATAAGGTGAGCAGCTTACTCTATCACACACTTCCATTATCTATACTGTCTCATCACAGACCCCAAATCAATGAGCCAACCAACTATGCTGAAGCTTCCAAGACTATGAGCCAAAGCCAAAATAAGCCTTTCCTCTTAAATTGAATTCTTTCAGTTATTTTGTTTCCTTGATGGAAAGGATCCAATCACTTCCCTTTAGACCTTAGAATTATGCCCTATAAGACGTATAAAAGATTCCCCTGTAAGTCTATCCGTGTCCAACCACAACCATCAAAACAATAAGTTTCAGATTTAAAATTAGTAATTCTGGTTGTAGTTCAGTGGTGGAATGCTTGCCTTGTATGTATGAAGCACTGGGTTTGATTCTCAGCACCACATAAAAATAAATAAATTAAATAAAGGTATTGTGTCCATATATAACTAAAAAAGTTTAAAGAAATAAAAATAAAATATGTAATACTTGTAGGGATCCTTCCTTCAATCAAAGAACTTATCGAAGTAAGAAAATTACCACTACTGCTTTATTTGAAAGGAATATAAAGTCAAATTTTAACATAAAATGGTAGACAGCCTTAAGTTTCCAGAGGAAATACAAACTAGTTTTTGTCTATAACTGTCAATGACCAATGCAGTATTTTGATTTTAAGTTGTCCTAAATATACCCAGAATGACAACCCTTCCTGGAAAAAGTAGGTTTAATTAATATTTTTTTTAAAATAATTTATTATCTGATACATTCTGGGTAACATTTGAGATTATGTCATCATGATGTTTAAAATAGGCCAGACTTGATTTAAGATTGGAATAGGTATTTAAAAAGTTAGAATATTTTAAACTTTATAGATTGATTGTTCTTTTTTAACAACATTTATGATTGAAGATATCCAATGTTAAAAACTTACACAACTAAAGAGTGCCCTATGATCCACTAGTGCTACCCAAGTAGGAAACATGTTTTCCAGGATACTGGTCTGGAAATGACATTAGATTGTTATGTTTTTTGAATTATAAATCATCATTTTCTAAATATTTAAACTAAACTTGCCAAAGATGTGATGTTTACATTTTCCTTGTCAGTGAAGCCTAATTTTTTTCTTCTTTCTTGACAAGATAAAAATAAATAAATAAACCTCTCCAATTTGAGTCAGAAACTCAACATTTTTAAGATAGTTATAAAATAGAGCTGCAAGTAGGTTTTCTCTTAAAAATAATGAGTTACCATCACTCAAAACCTTAGTTACTAAAGTGCTCACTTCCGAGAACAGAGACAACATGTGAATTTGCTTAAAAACAATCATAGATAACGTTCATTATTGACAAATTGATACTGTTGTGTGCAGATGTCTGAAATTTTCATAAAAGGCATGTGGAAATTCAAAGATTGATGATTAAAACAGCTAAAAAAAATCTCCCCTCCTCCTAGAATACATAATGTTCTTTGTACTGAGGTATAACCTCAGTCATCTGATTTATGTATTAGTAATTATATTAGAAAAATTGACTCCAGAGATTTCACGTGAAACACCTTAATTTAGGGAAGCTTCCATTATGTGAAATGTATTTGTCAAAGTTACCTTATTAACACAGATAGATAATGCATATATATTTTGCACACACATAAATACAAGATTTAGAAGGTACAAACTGAAAATAATTCATTGGTCAACATCTTGGAATTTCCTTTGACTATGGGAGTGAAGTTTTAGGATCTACCAGTGAGATGTGAGTTAAGAGATAATTCTCATGTAAAGACAAAATTATGAATTTTATACAGATATGAAAGTAACCATATGCTAAGATTTTATTTTATTCCTATGATGTGAGGGAAGTAGAGAAATGTTTTAACAGATTCAAAGGAAAAGTTAGAAGGGCAGATATTCACATGGAGTAAAGGAATATTAAGATGAACTGCAAATGGCAAGAAAGTCCTTTTTTTTCCAGAGGAGGGAGAAAACGAAATAAAATCACTACTAGACGGGAAATAATTTATATATCAATCAATTATCTACTGGTAATAAATACAGATAGAATCTAACTACCAAGAGGAATCACCTACAGAAGATGTGTAATTTTCTATTTGAATACATTTTTTCCTACATATGGCAGTTAAATGAATGACTACAACCTGAAATTGATCTTATAGAAATAAGTGCTCAACTTCAAGAGAAACTGTAGTCACTCTGCACTATATGCAAG